CTGAAGTATAAATCAAGAGGCAGCGCCCAGCCATTCATTCATTCCTGCGTGAGCCATGCGGAAGCGCTGCCACAGCGACTTGTGCAAGGAGGTCTGCAGATGAGCCCGGAGGACGCAGTGGGCAAGAGAGAGGGAGTTAGTCTAGTGATAGGTTAGATGCAGCGAAAGCTGCCATAGCTGTAGTTAGTAGTGAGTGTGTGTGTGTGTTCAAGTGTTAGAGTGATGCGTGTGGGATATCCAGGGTGATCCAGTGTATGTGAACAGTGAGATGTTTGGACGCTGAAGTTGCCATAGCGAATTGAGAGTGAACTCGTATCTGAAAGCCATATCTCTGAGTTTTGAGTGGGCGCATGTCGCCAGTATTCTGCGTTGCTGTTTACATGCATGAAAAGTGTGTTTGAGAACGAGTCAGATTGCAACCATTACACCGGAGGAAAAAACTATCAGCCGCACATCTGACATCTTGCAGTCTCAGAGAGGTCTAATACTTCGGCATCTGGAAGATGCCTGCTTTTGTATGTGATAAGCCAACCACCAATCCTTACTCTATAGTTATTCCACATCGATGGTTGAATCATTCTTTCGCATTGATCATAGGTAAGAATGAGACTGCTCTCCTGACACAGACCTTGGTGAGGCCAATTAATCCCAGAAACAGCGAAACTGTCCTACGCAGATAACTCACTTCCGTCGCAAACAGCCTACTTCGCCATCCAGATGCAAAACCAACAATAAACGAATAAAGCTACCGTCTTCACCCAAATGGAACGCCCGGTCATTATCGCTGCATTTGGCCCGGCTTTCAGTCCAGGTGCAGCGGTAATGACCGGGCATTTTATTGGGGTGAAGACGGCAGTTTCAAGGTTTCTGACCACTTTTAGCTCTGCATGTGACCTTCCCTGATCAACCAAGTCTTCTCCTTTGTCGTTGGTTTCAAGCAGTCCGCAGACAGGAACCTATCAATCAAATCAATCAGAAATGAACATTGTACTATTGTAGTGTACGCATAAATTTGTTTTTGTTTTTTTTTTATGATTGGGGTTTTACATGGAAAGGGGAACGCATTCAACACTTTCAGATCAGCAGAGAGACTTCCATCCAGAATTACCATTTTTGATGGCTACCTCCTTCACCCGAATACAGCATACGGTGTCTGGATTGCTTAACACATGCAAATCGTACGTTGTTTCCTCAGTTGAAAACGAAGTGGCAAACGGGTGCGTAATGCATGGGACTCTACCAGACAGTTTGGGAAAAGAAATAAACAGCCTAGATAGTGAATTTAGCATGATAGTCAAACCTTTTAGCGCTATTCGATGAGCTCGCATAGTATTAGGTAGTTGGTTCGGTAAAGGCTGACCAAGATGCTTCGCTGGTCTTTTCGACAGAAGTTGCCCCAAATACAGGCATAATGACCGTACGTTGTATACCGGTGAAGAACACAGCCATCAAACACCACAAGCCTCCTCTCAAAACGTCCCGAAACTCGTACAAGAGCATTAACTCCCCACCGATCACGCCCCAATCGCAGCATATAGCTTTGAGCTGTGGCTTCAGAGTCCTTTCACAACGGCATGATGCAGCTACAGACCTGCCAATTGCAGGTTCAAGATTCCACTTTGTTCTGCATACACATTGTCCGTAAGGTCTTCTCTACTATGCATTATAGTGAAGTCTTCACTAGTGTCACTCATCAGGACCGACAAAGGCAATACAGAATGTTAGTATCCTGCACAAGTACGACTCGAAAGAAGAGTGAGATGCGCGTTTCGACTCACCTCAACAGCTTTCATGTTAGTATCCTGCACAAGTAGGACTCGAAAGAAGAGTGAGATGCGCGTTTCGACTCACCTCAACAGCTTTCTCTGCTGCTTTGTGTAGGGCTTCAGAGATTGCCGTCGGATGAATACCTTTCGCTAATAGGTCCAAGCACTGCTTGAGCAAAGCCCCGGCCAAGATCACAACTGCAAGAGAGAGAGAATGCAGAAAAGCCAACAACAGTGAGAGAAGCAGTCAAAGCCCAACGCACTGCGTTCAGCAAAGCACCTACCAGGATGAAAAGAAAGTGACTGGAACATACAAGAAGCCGGCGACAGTTACACAATACACAATGCTGAAGGGTGTCAAAGGCAGGAGATTGTGAGGGAAAACCGCCGATCGACCTGCTGCAGCTTGGTACACTCAAAAAGAAGAAAGCAGTGACCGAAAACGAACACCAAAAGAAACCTGGGAGGGCCTTCCGGACCAGAGTTCCGTCCATCCAGGTAGACCCGAACAGACAGGTCCCACAGTCAACCTGTGCGGAAAACCAAAACCAGTTAGAAAAGGCACAACAAGACAAATTCTCACTCCGCGATCAGTACGGTTCATTTAAGCATGCCAATTAAGCCTCGGCCCGAGCTTCTGTCCAAGAGTCCAAGAAGTACGTGTGCTCTTCTATAGGGGTGGCAATGGGTATAACAGGGTCAAAAGGGTTGCAAAGGGTTGGAACGGATGACAAAGGAAGGGAAGGGGTGGGGAAAGGTGTGCAAAGGCATGTGAAGGCATCTGAAGGCATGTAAAGGGACGTAAAGGGGGAGTTTACTTTCATTTTATATATTCATATTTATTTATTTCCTCTCTAAGTTGTCATGGATTCAGTTTGGTACCCCCAAGAATTGCAATCAGATGAATCAGACCCAGGTCCGAATCCAGATGTAATGTCAGATAAACGGAATAAACTGATTCCGAATTGCCCAGGGCCGGTCAGTTCAAAATTCATCTTTTGGAAAAAAGCGTAATGAACCCCAAGATATCTCAAGGCCGTCACCCCTAATACCAGTTTCTCCACATTCATCTTCTGGAAAGAAGTGTAATGAACCCAGTCTCGTTGCGAAGCCGAAGGGTAATGAACCCAGTCTCGTTGCGAAGCCGAAGGGTAATGAACCCAGTCTCGTTGCGAAGCCAAAGGGTAATGAACCCAGTCTCGTTGAGAAGCCATTCAGCAATGCAATAGGAGTCTGAACCCAGCACACCTCATGGGGTCTCCAACATCAATTACAACCCCATGTCTCGATCATATGCACAACACGAGAGTATCCTCTCATCAAGGAAGAGCATGAGAGGAGAGAAAGAGGAGAGAAAAGACACAGAAGAAGAGAAGGAGAGTTGTCTCGATGATAATCATTAGTATGTTTCACTCTCTCTCCCACTTCTACTCCGGGCTCCTCCCCTATCGCCACCTCAGCAATGTCTGCTCCCTCTGACATAATCACATCGCAGATCATTACATGGTGCCCATCCTCCCTCCACGTCAGCAATAAGGTAATGGAGGATGGCACTGCACTTCCTCACCTTCGTCGAGACCAGCAGCAGATCACACATGTCGCCGCCAGGTAAGTCCAGGCAAGCTTCCCCGCATCTCCCATCAGTTTCACATCCCAGATCCTCCTCCTCCTCCTCGCCAATCCTCATCACCTGCTGGTCTACATCTACGCGGCTATGCCCCCGCCCACACAATCTCCTTCTAGGCTGCCGCCCTCCAGCAGTATCTGGCGTCAGCATCCAACTCCAGCACATGTCGTCGCCAGGTAAGTCCAGGCAAGCTTCCCCGCATCTCCCATCAGTCTCACCGCCCAGATCCTCCTCCTCCTCGCCAATCCTCGTCACCTGCTAGTCTACATCTACGCGGCTATGGCTGCGCCCACACAATCTCCTAGGCTGGCGCCCTCCAGCAGATCTGGCACCAGCATCCAACTCCAGCAGCCTCGCCATCCAGCACTAGCATCAAGAACGCGCAAAACAGAATGCCTTCACCAGTGTCTGACTGTCCTTTTGTAGCGTGGGGGTTACTGCACGCTGCTCTTGACCCTGGCCCTGATACCCCTTGACCTTAGGCCCTTTCCTAAACATTCCGAAGACTAGGGATGTGACCTTTGACGCCTGTTTCTGGCCCCTTGACCAAAATTTACGACCCATGCTTGACCTGGGATGTGACCTTCAACGCCTGTTTTTTATTTCAAAAGCTCGAAATTTTCAACAAAAAAAAACACAAGGGTTTATCTGCACACCCGAAAAAACCCTCGTGTCAAGGTCAGCTGTTCGGCCCGGACAGCTTTATCTCAACCTGCACAGGCCAAGCCCGCTGGACATCCAGCCCGGCTACCTAAGAGAGAGAGAGAGAGAGAGAGAACAATCAAGGCAAGGGCAATCGCTGCACCCCAAACCACACCTGAACACCTGCTCTGTGCCAATCTCATAGCGAGTTAAAAGAGCCTCTGCTGCGATAACCGTCCCAATACAAATATTACGCAAACACCCCTCTGCTTGCTGCATGAGCTAAGAGCTGTCACACCCCTTTTTTTTTTCCTGGTGCATGCCACAGACCCCGTAACTGCTGCTGAAACAGAGTCCGAATTCATACCCTGCTGACTATCATGACAATGTCATGCATGTACACTCCTTACCCGCCGCAATAAACATATTACGCAAATACCCCTCTGCTTGCTGCATGCGTTAAACTGTGACACCCTTTTTTTTTTCAAGAAAACTACGGTGAGAGGGTTCGAGTTTCAAAATACGCTTCAGGCAAAAGGCCTGAAAATGTCGAACGAATACAAGCTAGGATTCGGGTCCGGTGGGGTCAAGTGGGAAGGTGTTATGTTCCAGGGAATGCCTGAAGTGCATCGTCAAACTGTTTTCATGACTACACCATAGCTACCCCCCCCCCTTTTTTTTACCAGGCGCAAGCCGCACACCTGTAACTACTGCAGCAACAGAGTCCAAATCCATCCCCTGCCTAGCCTACCAGCCGGGCCACCCGGGTCACCCTGTTTTCCCGTGCGGCCCGACCGTGCAAGGAAGGACCATGGAAGGTTTAAGCCAAAAAAAAAAAAAAAAAAAAAAAACCCGGAAAAAAACTATAACCCGGGCGGCCCGACCGTGCAAGGACCAGGGAAAGTCAAAGCCCAAAAAAAAAAAAAAATCTAAAAAAGCTGGAAAAAAACTATGACCCGGGCGGCCCCACCGTGCAAGGACCAGGGAAGGTCCTAGCCCAAAAAAAAAAAATCTAAAAAAGCCGGAAAAAAACTATGACCCGGGCGGCCCGACCATGCAAGGACCAGGGAAGGTCCCATCCCAAAAAAAAAAACTGAAAAAGTCGGAAAAAAACTATGACCCGGGCGGCCCGACCGTGCAAGGACCAGGGAAGGTCCCAGCAAAAAAAAAAAAAAAAAAAGAACCTGACAAGGGCTCCACAGATCCATAGATGGAAGTTAAGTTACAGGATCCTTCCTTCTCATACATCAGACACCAACCAACCAACTGCGCTCTCTCCCCGCCTCACACTGCCCTGCAGATGACGCCCTACTCCATAGACTTCAACGCAGCACACGCTGTCTACTCGGACCTTAAAGTCCCTCACTGGACCCCTTTCAGACCATACTCACACTAGTAGCACTCCAACAATGTATATACGACCGCAATGACGCCTAGACCTGGATGCATCTGGCTGTAATCGCGTCCAGAGGGGAGTTGAAAATTCCTAGTGCGAGTATGCACACATTTTGATAGGTTAAGAAGTTATTTCCGAACCTATTTGGGGACCGTGCACCAAGAAAGAGCCCTCACAATTGCATAAGACAGCTGCTTCAAGCAAGACCAACACCCGTGCAACCGTCTTTTTTCGGGACATCCGTTAAAATTGGAGCGATACACAGAAGACAGATTAGCATGGACCCTGCACAAGGATGACAAAAAGAAAAAGAAAAAAAAGAAAAAAAAGAAAAGGATGACACGCATAAATCGAGAAATAGTCCAAATTACGAGGCCACCAGAGTGGCCCGGGGTTACTTGAACGGCCGGGCCAATAAAAAACAAAAAAGATAAAAATAAAAACAGTATTTTTTAATTTCATTTTTTATTCTAAATTCGGTGCAGAATTTCGATGTGACCCTGAGGCAAAAGTTGTTCAGTTTATTTTTCTGCATAACATAGTTTTTTTTCCTGGATTTTTTTGTTTTTTTTTTTTACTTTTTTTTTTGCTGGGAAGTAGTGGTCCTTGCACGGGCTGGCCACCCGGGACCCGGGCGGCCCGGCTGGTAGCCTAGCCAAATTATTTATTTCAAAAAATAAAAAAACAGTGAAACCAGACCCAGTATCACGCACGGTTTTCAAGGGAGAGAGGAGGGCGGAGGAGGAGAGAAGTGACGGACGGGTAGAGGGTAGCAAGGGAGGTGGTAAAAGAGGGAGGAGGGAAGAAGCAGCACTGCGACGGTTCTTTTCAACCTGTCCTCCAAAAAACTGCGCTCTCACTCGTACCTGTTGTGGTCCCATCTCCTGCAACCACATCCTGGGACTTAGCCAATTCCACGAGCATCTTAGCGGCTGGCTCTACCACGTTCATCTGCAACACAGATGAGACGCCAACCACCAGACAGCAAAGAGACACTCCAAGCCTTAGCTTATTCTTCTCTGGACTTCATTACAGTCAGATGCATCCTGGGTTTACTCTTCTCTGGACGTAATGACAGTCAGATGCATCCAGGGGGATGGATCACTCTTCTGGAAACATCTCTTCCACAACCTCATTTCTTTTTTTCTTTTTTTTTTTCTTTTTTTTCCTATATAAGAGGGGCGACAGCCTTGACATAGTATTTCACTCATCTGCTCCCAGTGGAGTTCGAACTCACGTCTGGATTTCACCAGCTCAGGGGTGTCTACCACCTGAGCTACCTTCTTCCCCCGAATACAACGCACGGTCATTATATGTGTATTTAGACCGAAAGATGCCCCAAATACAGCTATAATGACCGTGCGTTGTATTAGAGGTAAGAAGGTAGGCCAGTCGGTGACAACCTCATATCTGCATTTCTCGGCCGCCCGAATTCTGAGCCACATCAGCAGATCCTCTATCCATACTACTCATGAGCTGATGGCTTTTTCTATCCCACGCCCCCATTCCCCCCTTCCCCCCCTGCCCCCCCGGGGGGGTTCTTTCAAACCACGACAACCTGCGAGCAGCCGATCATCTATTCATACCGATGAGCTGAGGGATTTCCCCTTCCCCTTCCGCCCCCCTCCCCCCCCAAGGTTCTTTTTAAACCAGCACTACCCCCAGCTTTTCTTTTGGCTGAGGCGGAAGAGAACTGCGCGCCAAGCTTTCCCAGAGAGCCAGCGTGTACCAATGAGCCTAGCTCAGCTGGACCGGACAATTTCGGTTCAGAAAAGGCCGAAATTGAGGCCAGGAACATCGAAGTTAAATGCCCAGTCAGTCCCCGAGACAATGCGTTTGAGTCAATGCTCAAGAACCATCCTTACAAAAAAAAAAAAAAAAGAGAGAACCATCATCCTCCGGCCTTAAATGTCAAATAAATAAGAGAGAGGCCTCTGCTTCCTGCTGTGCATGTGGCTCCACTTTGGCGATAGATCAGACGCTACTGGTAGGGCCGGTCTGTTCTATGATGACATCTGAAGGCCGTCGACCTTTAATTTAAAATTAAAAAAAAAAAAAACGAGAGTAAAAAAAGCTCTTACGGCGTATATATACGGGTAAGGGAGCTCAACTTAGGGCGAGATCCAACTGCCTTCTTCCCTCCCCCGAATACATCGTATCTTTCAGTCTAAATACAGCTAAAATGACCGTACGTTGTATTCGGGGGAAGAAGGTAGCAAAGAGATTGGATTGAAAACCTGAATCTGGACGTGTTTGGCGAAACGTGCAGATCATTGCGATTGCTCTGTTTTTCTGCATCTCTACATAAAATGCATCCACATTCAGGCGCTTAGGCCAATCTTCTTCACTAGTGGGATCTCGCCCTTAGGCTCGTGTGCCACTTCCTCCCACTTCGTGGCCTCTGGTGACACAACCGCCGCGAAGCGTTCATCTTTCCCACCCACCCCAGGGTGGGSTGGTGTCGGCTCCATTCTTTTCTTGGCCAGGCAGCGAAGGAAGATGACGAGCGGAAAAAGGGATTTGGGGTCTAATCCTAGGGCCTGAGCCGGTAGCTAAAGCGGCAGGCCCCTTCGACACTGAGGAGGAATTCCAGGCTCGCGAGCCTTGGAATGTATAGCTTGGCCAACTTGGCTATATACACACACTAGCACTTTTTAACGGATGTATATGATCGCTAAAATCCTTCTCTGAGTATGCCTTTACTCTCGTGTGCACTGGTGGTTTAAGAAAACAGAAAATGATAGTACGGTAAAGAAAAACGTTAACCATACATACAAGATGGCCGTCTTCCGCCAGCAGAGTTTCAGGTGCATCAGGATTCCAACCTGGGTAGGTAGTTCAACAGCTCCCGGGCGTACGTACCAACTGCCCTAAGCTCAGCTCAGTTGGTACACCCCTTACCTCCGTTGCTACACCCCTGATCTACTAACTGGCCTACCTCAGTTGCTACACCCCTCAACTGTCGAAGAAATACAGACCCTACCTACTTCGGACTCCACTGCAAGCAGATGAATGAAATATACTGCACTCCTCAATAATTACCCAAGGCTGGTCAATTCGATGATGAAGTAGGGTTTCAGGC